TCGAGCTATTTCTTTTCTGAAATATATCCTTATGCTCATGTGTCCCGCTAACAGAATTATCTTGTCTGACGAGACATGTGCTATTTCACTTCGAAGAGAAAATAACTAGTTGAGCGTAATATAGGATATCACAAGGCGTAAACTCCCCACAGTAAGGCAACAGAATACCATGAGAAACCCCGTATAAACATATACCCTGGGGCCCAAACAGGCGAACCTTTAATAATGAAATGGTTTTCATGACTATAATGGCTGACGTGTGATATGAGTGAGATGCTGGAAGCCATTAAGCTATCCCCTTTCTCCTCACCTGACGGTGTGCCTATCTGCTGGACTACCTGTATAATTGGACCAGGCATCGGGCGGTACGTGATTGTGACGCTATACTCTACACAGTTACCCGGGTGGCAGACACGCTGTGTTCAGGGCGGGAGAGGGGGAGTGGACATGGCAGTTACCTGGTGGCAGACACCCTGTGTTCAGGGCGGGAGAGGGGGAGTGGACATGGCTGTTACCCGGGTGTCAGACACCCTGTGTTCAGGGCGGGAGAGGGGGAGTGGACATGGCTGTTACCCGGGTGTCAGACACCCTGTGTTCAGGGCGGGAGAGAGGGAGTGGACATGGCTGTTACCCGGGTGTCAGACACCCTGTGTTCAGGGCGGGAGAGGGGAGTGGACATGGCTGTTACCCGGGTGTCAGACACCCTGTGTTCAGGGTTGGAGAGGGGAGCGGACATGGCTGTTACCCGGGTGGCAGACACCCTGTGTTCAGGGCGGAGAGGGGGAGACATGGCTGTTACCTGGTGGGGCATGGCAGTTACCTGGTGGCAGACACCCTGTGTTCAGGGCGGAGAGGGGGAGCGGGCATGGCTGTTACCCGGGTGTCAGACGCCCTGTGTTCAGTGCGAGAGAGGGAGTGGACATGGCTGTTACCTGGTGGCAGACACCCTGTGTTCAGGGCGGGAGAGGGGGAGTGGACATGGCTGTTACCCGGGTGGAAGACGCCCTGTGTTCAGGGCGGGAGAGGGGGAGTGGACATGGCTGTTACCCGGGTGTCAGACACCCTGTGTTCAGGGCGGGAGGAGGGGAGTGGACATAGCTGTTACCCGGGTGTCAGACGCCCTGTGTTCAGGGCGGGAGAGAGGGAGTGGACATGGCTGTGTTTTGGTTGTTCTATTTCTTTGAGTGCTGGTATGGGATGAGTAAATAACCTCCCTCCTTGCTACTACTGTGCTACTGGGATCCCGCAGCACACTGTCTGTGTTTCATATAACTCCCATCATAAGGAGGAGTGAGTTGGTTTTACGCCGCTTTTAGCAATATTCCAGCAACACTACGGCGGGGGACACCAGAAATGGGCTTCACACATTGTGCCTATGTGGGGAATCGAACCCGGGTCTTCGGCGTGACAGACTCACCATCGTAATGATGTTATGCAAAAGACGGAAAGTACCAAGCATCAAATAAAGCTCCCCCTGGTTGTAGAGGCTTGAGGTCCACTCAAAAAACCGTAACACTAACCAAGAGCTGAAGCGCTCGCCTACGACTAAACAACCCTTTCTATAGCCCAAACTCCATGTGCCCCGTCCATATACAGCTGACAGAGACAAACAGAGAGGGAGGACTATCTGTAATACCTGTCTCCCTATTCCAGGAGTCTGTGACAGGTCCCTTCAACAACTACACACTCAGGTAGGACTATATGCAATACCTGTCTCCCTATTCCAGGAGTCTGTGACAGGTCCCTTCAACAACTACACACTCAGGTAGGACTATATGCAATACCTGTCTCCCTATTCCAGGAGCCTGTGACAGGTCCCTTCAACAACTACACACTCAGGTAGGACTATATGCAATACCTGTCTCCCTATTCCAGGAGCCTGTGACAGGTCCCTTCAACAACTACACACTCAGGTAGGACTATATGCAATACCTGTCTCCCTATTCCAGGAGTCTGTGACAGGTCCCTCCAACAACTACACACTCAGGTAGGACTATATGCAATACCTGTCTCCCTATTCCAGGAGCCTGTGACAGGTCCCTTCAACAACTACACACTCAGGTAGGACTATATGCAATACCTGTCTCCCTATTCCAGGAGCCTGTGACAGGTCCCTTCAACAACTACACACTCAGATAGGACTATATGCAATACCTGTCTCCCTATTCCAGGAGCCTGTGACAGGTCCCTTCAACAACTACACACTCAGGTAGGACTATATGCCATACCTGTCTCCCTATTCCAGGAGTCTATTGTGACAGGTCCCTTCAACAACTACACACTCAGGTAGGACTATATGCAATACCTGTCTCCCTATTCCAGGAGCCTGTGACAGGTCCCTTCAACAACTACACACTCAGGTAGGACTATATGCAATACCTGTCTCCCTATTCCAGGAGTCTGTGACAGGTCCCTCCAACAACTACACACTCAGGTAGGACTATCTGTAATACCTGTCTCCCTATTCCAGGAGCCTGTGACAGGTCCCTCCAACAACTACACACTCAGGTAGGACTATATGTAATACCTGTCTCCCTATTCCAGGAGCCTGTGACAGGTCCCTTCAACAACTACACACTCAGGTAGGACTATATGCAATACCTGTCTCCCTATTCCAGGAGCCTGTGACAGGTCCCTTCAACAACTACACACTCAGGTAGGACTATATGCAATACCTGTCTCTATATTCCAGGAGCCTGTGACAGGTCCCTCCAGCAACTACACACACGATATGCATAGAAAGACGCCGGGGAATGTTGTTACGCTGCGAGGGAAACAATAGAGCGTGGCGAGAAATGTTTACACTTGGGCAACATGGTGTGAAGAAATATTAAAAGTGTCATCTCCCGTGCTTCTGTAACGCCTATGACGTTGATCTTAGCAGAATATATAAAGTTCGCATTGTGCGTGTGTATTATCTTACATGGCGGTTAAGTATGTGCATTGATGGAGTATAACAGCAGAGTGTCCCCGTGTATATGTAAAGTAAAATGGCCGTATTATACACAAAACGAACAGATTCTACCCCGTTACAGACCGCCCCATGTCTGTATGTAAAATAATATATTGCCAACATCACACACTGTCCCAGTACATTGACGTCACACACTGCAATAGTACATTGACGTCACACATTGCCACATTACATTAACGTAACAAACTGTCACTATAACTAACGTAACAGACTGCCACCGTACTTTAACGTCACACACTGCAATAGTACATTGACGTCACACACTTCCACATAACATGGATGTCACACATTGCCACATTACATTAACGTAACAAACTGTCACATGAAACTAACGTAACAGATTGCCACAGTACTTTAACGTCACACACTGCAATAGTACATTGACGTCACACACTGCCACATTACATTAACGTAACAGACTGTCACATGAAACTAACGTAACAGATTGCCACAGTACTTTAACGTCACACACTGCCACAGTACATTGACGTCACACAATGCCACATTACATTAACGTAACAGACTGTCACATGAAACTAACGTCACACACTGCAATAGTACATTGACGTCACACAGCCATAGTACATTGACGTCACACAATGCCACAGTACACTGCCACAGTAATTGAACGTCACACACAGCCATAGTACATTGACGTCACACAATGCCACAGTACACTGCCACAGTAATTGAACGTCACACACAGCCATAGTACATTGACGTCACACAATGCCACAGTACACTGCCACACACTGCAAAAGTACATTGAGTACATAACAGAGCAAGCCTATCTTTATCCCAAATAAACTTCTGATACTAAGATAATTTCTAGTAATTAAGATACCACGAGTTGTAAGGTAATAAGCATCAATACTACGTGTATATGTAAACAACGCTTACGAAACCTGGATAGATCGGGGTTTTGCTAGTTTTGTTCATCTCATTATGTATTAAGTTCTTTCATCTGCAGCCCTCTCTCAGTAGTTGCCTAGGACCCTCTGTTATCTAAGGGCTGACGGAACAACTATATCCCTTGACTCGATATGGGTGCACGCAATGTTGACACTGTACGACAACAACACATTCCTAAATCACCCCGACTGTGTTCTCGTTGTAATAGTAAACAAAGAGGGACTTGTCTCGCCAATGTGCATATTTAGAATATATTTAAAACTTATCAGAAGCTTTCATGTATCCAGTTAAGAATCTCATCTTGTCCGTCACTGAAACATAAAAGACCAGAGTGATGCGCGCTTTTTGTTTAACACAGTGTTGTGTGGTTTAACACTGTCTGTTGTATGTTTAACACTGTGTGCCATGTGTTAACAGTGTATGTCATATGTTTAACAATGTGTGCTATGTGTTTAACACTGTGTGTCATGTGTTTAACACTGTACACTATGTGTTTGACACTGTACACAATGTGTTCAACACTATGTGCCATGTGCTTAACACTGTGTGCCATGTGTTCAACACTGTGTGCTGTGTGTTTAACAATGTCTGCTATCTTGCACACAATTATTTAGCACTCGAAATTTAGTGTAAGCATTAAGTGGACTATAAATGCACATGTAACATTGTCTCGCTTTGAACATGCATATGGTGTGGAATTGCTGGGAAAAAAATAAGTATGATGTTGTTTGGGGTTGTTTTAATTCACATTAGCGAATTCCATGTCAAATCATCGTCATCATCATCATCATCATCATCATTATTGCAATAATTATATTGCGATGCCTCCATACACTCGCTGTATGCTCAAAGCCCTACCATGGCCCCCGTACAATGGATCAGTGCGCGTTCGACTTTATTCTCAGCTCCATGGGGAGTATAAAACCCAAGACTCCTTGTCAAGTGCTGGACGTTTAACAATCACATTACCATCTCATGCTACCGGGTACCCATCTGTACTGCTGTGAACAGTTATATGTCGAACACAGTCTCCCGCAAAGTCAAAGTATGTCTAGAACGAAATGAGTAAACCATGTAAGACAGAATCAGACAGAAGGACGACTAAGAAACTCACCATTGGTATCACAGGCTTTGAATGCTTCTGCTACATTCTCAAACGCCCCCGTCACCTCAATCAGCTCCTTCATCACGATAAATCCATCCCCGTCACGGTCATAACTGTCAAAGTCCGTGGGCATTGGAATGGGTTCGAACCTCAGGTCCTCCTTGTCCTCTGGAATGTCCTCCACCTCCATGTCCTCTATCGTCTCCTCTTCATTGTCCACCATGTCCTTGGCGTCAATCAGTCCTCCCAGCTCCTCGATCTTCAGCGTCTCCATGTCCTCGTCCTCGGGAGTCAACTCATTCACCTCCTCGGGGGTCATGTCCCCCGTGTCTCCCGCGGCGTCACCAGCCTCCACAACAACATCATCATAGTCCGACTTGACTTCTGAGTCCACGGTAGAGTTCGACACCGTTTCATTTGTGCTGAACGAAGAGCTGAAGGTCACTAAACACAATGACACAACTCCAACACAAAAAACACAAGTTATAAACCTTCATGGCTGCAGATTTACTTGTTGTTCCGATAAAACCGAACTTAATATCTCCGGATGTGAATCAGCCTTCCCACATGAAACAACAAACTGCACGTGTTGTTTTGTATCACTTAAACAAATCCCTTGCTGATAAAGGGTCCCTGTGCGATAGAGAAGACGTTTTTGTATCAACGTGACGTCGACTCACACCATCTTACACACTGTGTGTATTTAGTGCTTAACGGCTTTGATCCGATACAGTAAGAAAATCTCACCTCGATGTTATGCTGTGGACCGGTAGAGAACTACAACATGCCAGCCTGACCGTCTGATCGAGGGTGGTTTATACGGGGAAGCATTCGGGGCGCATTTTGTTGCGGCCCAGGACCGAGCAGTCGTGCATGTGTTCCTATGCTAATGTGTGTGTGGACCGAGGTTTGTTTTGTGTTGTGAAAGCTGCGTCGATATGTAGTCGTGCTCTTACTGCAAAATCACCATCGTCAAACCTATACTGAGTGAGTGAGTGAGTGGGTGAGTTTAGTTTTACGCCGCACTCAGCAATATTCCAGCTGTATGGCGGTGGTCTGCAAATAATTGAGTCTGGACCAGACAATCCAGTGATCAACAGCATGAGCATCGATCTGCGCAATTGGGATACGATGACATGTGTCAGTCAGCGAGCATGACCACACGATCCCGTTAGTCGCCTCTTACGACAAGCATGGTAACTGAAGATCAATTCTAACCCAGACCTTCACGGGTTCAAAGCTATACTATGTACAATCATATCACTGTTGTAATAGCTATACTGTGTACAATGACGTCACTACTGTAATAGCTATACTGTGTACAATGACGTCACTACTGTAATAGCTATACACTGTACAATGACTGTACTGCGTACAATGACATCAATGTTGTAGTAGCTGTACTGCGTACAATGACGTCACCGCTGTAAAAGCTATACTGTGTACAATGACATCACTACTGTAATAGCTATACACTGTACAATGACATCACTGTTGTAATGGCTATACTGCGTACAATGACATCACTGTTGTAATAGCTATACTGCGTACAATGACGTCACCACAGTAATAGCTATACTGTGTACAATGACATCACTGTTGTAATAGCTATACTGCGTACAATGACGTCACCACAGTAATAGCTATACTGTGTCCAATGACGCCACTACTGTAATAGCTATACACTGTACAATGACGTCACTACTGTAATAGCTATACACTGTACAATGACGTCACTACTGTAATAGCTATACTGTGTACAATGACGTCACCGCTGTATAGCTATACTGTGTACAATGACGTCACTAATGTAATACCTATACTGTGTACAATGACGTCACTACTGTAATAGCTATAGTGTGTACAATGACGTCACTACTGTAATAGCTTTACACTGTACAATGACGTCACTACTGTAATAATTATACACTGTACAATGACATCAACACTGTAATAGCTATACTGTGTACAATGACATCACTGTTGTAATAGCTATACTGTGTACAATGATGTCACCGCTGTGATAGCTATACTGTGTACAATGACGTCACTGTTGTAATAGCTATACTGTGTACAATAAAGTCACCTCTGTAATAGCTATACTGTGTACAATGACGTCACTGTTGAAATAGCTATACTGTGTACAATGACATCACCACTGTAATAGCTATACTGTGTACAATGACATCACCACTGTAATATCTATAGTGTGTACAATGACGTCACTACTGTTATATCTATACTGTGTACAATGACGTCACTACTGTAATAGCTATACTGTGTACAATGACATCACCACTGTAATATCTATAGTGTGTACAATGACGTCACTACTGTTATACCTTTACTCTGACCGACTGACTGAGTTTAGTTTTACGCCGCTTTTAGCAATATTCCAGCAATATCACGGCGGGGGACACCAGAAATGGGCTATACCTATACTGTGTACAATGACATCACTGTTACAATGACATACTGCGTGTTGTAATCACCAGCTATAGCTGCGTACTGTGTACAATGACATCACCATTGATATAGCTATACTGTGTACAATGACATCACCACTGTAAAAGCTATACTGTGTACAATGGCATCACCACTGTAATATCTATAGTGTGTACAATGACGTCACTACTGTAATAGCTATACTGCGTACAATGACGTCACTACTGTAATATCTATACTGTGTACAATGACATCACCACTGTATATCTATACTGTGTACAATGACGTCACTAATGTAATACCTATACTGTGTACAATGACGTCACTGTTGTAATAGCTATACTGCGTACAATGACGTCACCTCTGTAATAGCTATACTGTGTACAATGACGTCACTACTGTAATAGCTATACTGTGTACAATGACATCACTGTTGTAATATCTATACTGCGTACATTGACGTCACCGCTGTGATATCTATACTGTGTGCAATGACGTCACCGCTGTAAAAGCTATATTGTGTACAATGACATCACTACTGTAATATCTATACTGCGTACAATGACATCACTGTTGTAGTAGCTATACTGCGTACAATGACGTCACCGCTGTAAAAGCTATACTGTGTACAATGACATCACTACTGTAATAGCTATAGTGTGTACAATGACATCACTGTTGTAATGGCTATACTGCGTACAATGACATCACCACTGTAATAGCTATACTGTGTACAATGACATCACTGTTGTAATATCTATACTGCGTACAATGACGTCACCACTGTAATAGCTGTAGTGTGTACAATGACATCACTGTTGTAATAGCTGTACTGCGTACAATGACGTCACCACTGATATAGCTATACTGTGTACAATGACATCACTGTTGTAATAGCTATACTGCGTACAATGACGTCACCACTGTAATAGCTATACTGTGTACAATGACATCACTGTTGTAATAGCTATACTACGTACAATGACGTCACCGCTGTAATAGCTATACTGTGTACAATGACATCACTGTTGCTATACTGCGTACAATGACGTCACCGCTGTAATAGCTATACTGTGTACAATGACATCACTGTTGTAATAGCTATACTGCGTACAATGACGTCACCACTGTAATATCTATACTGTGTACAATGACATCACTGTTGTAATATCTATACTGGTGTACAATGACGTACTGTAATAGCTATACTGTGTACAATGACATCACTGCTGTAATAGCTATACTGTGTACAATGACACCACTGTTGTAATAGCTATACTGCGTACAATGACGTCACCGCTGTAATAGCTATACTGTGTACAATGACATCACTACTGTAATAGCTATAGTGTGTACAATGACATCACTGTTATAATATCTATACTGCGTACAATGACGTCACCGCTGTGATATCCATACTGTGTACAATGACATCACTGTTGTAATATCTATACTGCGTACAATGACGTCACCGCTGTGATATCTATACTGTGTACAATGACATCACTGTTGTAATGGCTATACTGCGTACAATGACAATTTGTCAATACGGCAGTAGTAGTAGTAATAGCGGCATCAGTAGCATCAGTAGTTGTAGTAGTAGTAGTCGTAGTAGTAGTAGAAGTAGTGGTGGTGGTGGTGGTGGTAGTAGTAGTTGTTGTAGCAGTAGTAGTAGTAGTAGTAGAAGTAGTAGAAGTAGTAGTGGTGGTGGTGGTGGTGGTAGTAGTAGTTATTGTAGTAGTAGTAGTAGTAGTAGTAGTGGTGGTGGTGATGGTGTGGTAGTAGTAGTAGTGGTGGTAGTAGTAGTCGTAGTAGTAGTAGTAGTAGTAGTAGTAGTAGTAGTAGTAGTAGTAGTAGTAGTAGTAGTAGTAGTGGCTGTAGTAGTAGTTATTGCTGTTGTTGTAGACGAGGAAGTTGTTGAAGAAGTATCAAAAGAAGTAGTCGTATTTGAAAACGGTTGACAATGGACAATTGGAAGTCCAAACTGATTATCTGCATTGAGTACACATGTAGGGGCAAACGTTGATAGGTACTAAGTCATAGCTCCCCTCGATTCAGGTAGGACAGTGGATTACTTTCAGTTTTTGGGTTATACAGTCAAACCTCATGTCAGTCAGATATACCTAATCACTTGCTGCTAACGCACAAAAAGTATATCTTAACGGGAAAGCAAAGTGGCATGTATTTAACGCATCAAAAACAAACACAGATCGCAGATATATGTGAAACGTCGGCAACGGGGAAAAGCGAATACGGATTAGAATCAATATTTCAAATACAAGACAAGTGTGAGCTTCTTATATATAGCACATACTGCATCCAAACACGTCCATGGACCAAAAACCCGAAACCCGATGTAGCAATTGATGAGGCTGAGAAGCTATTAACAACCTGACAGCGTTTGATTGATTGCTCTCAGCTGACAAGTCGTCATCAATTTCAGCTAACTAGAGTTGTGAGGTTGGTCATGGACACGTCCACAACGTCGACTCGCGGGGAGTTGATGTGATAGACGGGAGCAACGTTTTATCACGGGAACATCATTTGGAACGTTTTTCTGTGTATATGTCAGTATATATTTATGATTTACCCAGAGCATGCGGAATGTTTATATATTTACAGAGAAGCTTGGTCTTATGCCTGCTGTAGTACACGTCGGTCTTTAGACTGACTGACTGACTGAGTTTGGTTTTACGCCGCCTTTAGCAACATCACGGCGGGGGACACCAGAAATGTCGGTCTTTAGAGAAACTCTGTACCCTCTTTCTCTTCAGAGGAATCTGAAGTACTTATTGAAGAATGCAAAGGTGTAAGTTTAATTGTTTTAAACGGTTCACCCACATGTGGTCTATTCACCATGTTTCTGGTTTCCGCCACAGTGATATTGCTGGAATAGGGGCGGCGGGGTAGCCTAGTGGTTCAAGTGTCTGCTTGTCTCGCCGAAGACCCGGGTTCGATTCCCCACATGGGTGCAATGTGTGAAGCCCATTTCTGGTGTCACCCGTCGTGCTGGAACATTGCGAAAAGCGGCGTAAAACCAAACTCACTCACTCACTCATTATTCATCGCGTGAACAACAGAACAGGCGGCGCGAGTGCCATGATGGAATACTGCTACTACTACTACTACCATTGATAATAATGATAATAATATTGATAATAATACGTCTACTAAAATAACGCCTTGTTCTATTAAACAGGTCCTGGTCATAGCATCATTTTACAGAAGAAAGGTATTCATCCCCACTACAGAACAGTCTCTGTGTATTTTGAATTCATTCGTTCAGTGTTGCTTCTCTTCATAGGCGTTCAACTGTTCCAATTGTTTTAGTTTCAAAAAGCCATGAATATCATCATGACATTGAACGGCATTTCGCTGTATCAAA